ACTCCCAGAATTCCCCAGCCAGCGAATGCTGGCTGGGGAATTCTGGGAGTTGAAGTCCGGACATCTTCAAGTTGCCAAGGTTGAGAAACACTGTCTTAGAACCTTCCCAGATGGCTTCTTCATCCAATGAGCAAAGTCAACGGGGGAACCAAGATTTGCTCAAGGACTGCCTGATTCACAACTGCAGTGATTCACTTGACAGCCATGGCGTAAAAGGTCATAAAATGGGATGCAGCCCACTTAAAAATTGCCTTTCTGAGCAACAAAAAATTGGGCACAGTCGTGACTGTAAGTTAAGGTTTACCTCTAGTGAGCTCTGCTTTAAAAACAAAACCAAACCCAGTCCTCCTGTAGGAATCATCAGCCAACAAGTCAATTTGCACATGGTACAATGCCTTTATTTATTAAATTAGCTGTTCCTACTCCTGCAAGAACAGAATCCTTGGCAGGGCTTAAGAAAGAACATTAAGCCATTGTGGAAGAACAGCAGAGAAAATATCCATGGAACGAACAATTCAAAACTGAAACAAACAAGAGATTTGCATACAATGGTATTATTTAGAAATGATGATCTTGAGAACCAGTTTGGCATAGAGGTGGAAGTGTTGGACCGAAGCCCAGGAGACAGTAAGTCCCAGCACTCCTTTAGTCACGGAAGCAGGCTGGGTGAGTTCTGCCCGTTACTCTCTATCAGCCCAGCCCACTTCATAGATAAAATAGAGACAGGATATGGTTTCTGAGTAGAAATCTTAAGACAAAAGAAATTGAAAAACCATCTTGGAAGACATCAGTGTCAAACCATTCTGTACAGATAGTCCTCGACTTACAGCCATTCATTTAGTGACCAGGTGAAGTTACAACAGCACTGAAAAACTTACGGCCTGTCCTCACATTTACGCAGCACCCACGATCAAAATGTGGAAGCTTGGCAATTGGCAATTTATGATGGTAACAGGATTCCGAGTCATGTGATTGCCATTTGTGTCCTTCCCAGCCGGCTGGGAAGTCAGTAAGGGAATCCGGATTCACTTAATGACTGCATGATTCACGTAACAACTGCAGTGATTCACTTGACAATCATGGCAAACGTTTTGTAAACTCGGGTGCAACTTAATTAACAACTTTCTTGTTTATCAACAGATAAACAAGTTGTAGTTGTAGGTCAAGGAATTACCTGTACCGTTACTCAGAAAACCCCTTGGCTGCATTCCTCAAGTCACCCAAAACTGAATTTACCTCAAAGGAAAAAAAATTATATCCTAAGTATGCTGAGGTTTCTACCCTGCTTCCCTGAAAATAAGACCTCCCCGGATAATAAGCCCAATTGGGCTTTTCAGTAGATGCACTAAAATAAGCCCTCCCCCGAAAATATTGCAAGACAGCAGCAGCCATGAGGTGACCACGCTCGCTGCCCCCTGCCCCTCAAAAATAATAAGACCTCCCCGAAAATAAGGCAACATGCTTACTTTGAGAGTCAAAAGAAAATAAGATCCTGTCTTATTTTCGGAGAAACATGGTACTTTTCAAGTTTTCTGGGACTGTCCTTCCAAGAACAGTTTTTTTAAAAAATTCTTTATCCAAATGGATGAATAAAAGATCTTAATTTTTTAAAAAGTATCTCAAGTTCTAGGAAAAAATTTCACCTTATAACATGTCTACTCCAGAGCACGTTCAGCCATTTTGCACCACTTTGAGAGAATTGGTTTCTGAGCAGTTTGGTGAACTGGTTGTTGGGAAAAATAATTAGGGCAGAGAACCGGTGGTTAAATTATTTGAATCCCACCAATGACACCTACTGTAATTCGATCAAACAACTGAATCAACCGGTATATTTTGATTACTTCTGTTGGCTTAGTATTTTAAAAACATGGAGGGACAGCTCTAGCTATTTGTCCTTTACCTTTTCTCCTATACAAAATGAGTTGGGTTCCTGGAACCATTTAATTAAACACTTTTTGAATTGCAAATCCAGTTATTTTTCCCATCGTGCCAGATTTTTCTTCCGTTTGCTGAGTTCTTTAGTATCCTGCTTAGATTTGGGAAGGTTCAAAACCTCTCCCTTTCCCCCCTCCAAATCAGTAAATTAAAGGAAACCCCAGAGCAGGATTAAACAAGTATGCCATAGGACCCACCGGGAAGAAAGGTTAACTATTGCTGTCAGCAATATAGAGGAAAACGCATGTTAAACTTCTCCCCGCAGCTGGCAGTAAGTCCCAAGCAACACTGAAAGACATGCCTCTGAGTAAACACCCGTAGGAATAAGATTCCTTGTCTGCTCTCAAAGGCACCATTGTGAGTCTTGTGGCATCTTGGAGATTAACAGACGCGTAACATATGGCCCACTGCATCGGCTAATTTTCAAGATGGCATAAGAAATTTCACCATGAAAAGTTGCCTTTCTCAGTGTAAACTTCAAGCTCTTGGGTGTACAGCGTGGAATTTAGGAATGCCTGGTTTTCAGACTCTCTGTTGCTCCAAAACGTACCTGTTTTAAACACGACGACATGGGCGTGCAGCTTCTGCTTCTCTTTTAAGTAGTGGTATTGCTCCTGGAGCCGGTTTACGTCCATCTTGCTGGGCGGCCTGGAACTGTCTGTGGCTTGCTGGTCCGATGAGTGACTCACTAGAAAAACACCACTCATATATTTATAAGCCTTCGCCACCTGCTCCCATAAGAAAGACAAAACCAGGCACAAGCAACGTAGGTCCCTCATCCTGGTACCATTGGAAAGAGGTTGTGGCCGAAGGACAGCTGGTTTCATTCAGCTGCAGTACGCGCTTTGCTCCAGGTAAAGCAATTTGCCGAGCACCTGAATGCAGCTTTAAGAGGCAAAAAAATGGTCTGGCTTGAACTGTTGTTGATTTAAGACTAAATCTAGGACTCGGTGCCAAAATCCTACACGTAGCACAAAAGTTCATCTAACTTAGCCAGGTGCACAAATGCCGGTTGACGTTACAACTGCACTTTACACAGAGGCGGTGTCCGGTCTTCTTCCTGTCTTCCTTCTTCTTTCATTTCCTTCTGTTTATTTTGAGGGATTGATTAACTCGATTTCAACTCCTAGTGACTACATAGGTGGGTTTTTTAAAAAAAATATATTTATATTTAAATAAATGATTATTTATTTCTATTTCTTATTAGTATGGTTGGTTGCACAGGCACCAGTGTGTTTAGATTGGATCTGGCATTTTTGTTACCCTATGGAGCCCTTCCCAAATGTTGTTTAATAATATTAAAGGCATTGTCACAAGATGTAAGCTGTTACAAATAAAGCCGCCATTTGCAATTAACTGATGGTAAGTTTTGTCAATGCCAATGGTATTCAAGCAGCACTCAGATGTTTTAGGATTGCATCCAAGGTGTCTATTATTACTGGAACTGTTTTTGCTTTCTTTGGAAATATCTTATCTTGTATTTGCAGATCTTTATGTTTTGGGATTTTCTCCGGTTTCTTCTCTCCTGCTGTCTCCAAGTATTGTCATATCCACTATCCAGACTTGTTTTTTGTCTTATCAATAATGGTTAAGTCTGGGGTATCATGTTGGTCTGTCTGTTTTAAATTGAACGTCACAGAGGTTTAGGTTAGGTTTAGGTTTATTGGATTTATATATGCCGCCCTTCTCCCAAGGACTCAGGGCGGCGTACAACATACAAGAAAACACATATTACAAAAATTAAAATGGACATTAAATAAAGTATCCCCCCCCCAAAAAAACCAATTGATATTTACAATAAAATTTTAAAAATTAAAATAAAATTAACAACCAAATTAATCCTATATTTTTATTCTATTCAGGCCAGGTCGGCTTGCTGGAAAAGCCAACTTTTTAGGGTGCGTCGGAAGGACCGGAGGTCAGGGATTATGCGAAGCTCCGGGGGCAGCTCATTCCAGAGGGAAGGCGCTCCCTCTCCCTTCTCTGATGTAAGATAAATATCCTATAA